ACCGCACGTCAGAATCCACTCCTCCGAAACTATGGAGCCCATCGCCTGGTGGTGCCATGTCCTAAGCGAGCGGTTACGCCGGATTTCGACACAATGTCGGCGTGCGAAAATACCGACAGGCTACATGCCAAAGCGAGCCTTTATATCGGAGGCACAGAAAGTTCTGGTGGTATTTGTGCGCGGATCGAACGTGATTGGATCGTCGACATTTTTTGGCGGGATTTTGTTGCCGGCTTTCAACATGTCGGCATTTAACGTGTCGGCATCTTGCCCAGAATCGGCCTTAACAAACCCGTTCATCACATATCGAATCGCCACGGCAAATGGGTATTTGTCGATGGAACCGGCACGACCGCCAACGATCGAGCTAGCTTCCGGCTAAAGAAAATCTGGGAAATGTGCTTGTTTTCAAACCTGCGAGAGGACAGCTTGAAAAATGGAAAATAGCAAGAACAGGAGCTTGGGTAGCATCTTGCAAAACTGATGAAAAAATCTAGACATCGAAATGTTCCCTTCAGCAGACACGTGATCATGAATATTCGAGCGTATGTTCCAAATTTTCCGTACATATATTATTGACATATTGAAAAGCTAAAAATTAAATGAAACCGAAAGTTTTGATCATTCTTATTCAGTGTATTTTCCGACAGGATATTGAAAAGCTAAAAATAGGCATTTTTGCGGTAATATGTTAAAATCCTGGACTTTCTGAGGATACTGTAGTAGTGTGTCAAATGAATTTGTTTATCAGAATATTCAATTCAAATCCGAACGCAAATTGGCTTCCCAATAGTGTTCTCGTAAAATCGACAGTAGGCCGTGGCGTCGAGACCAATTGCTAAAAACAGATTTTTAAGGTTAAAAAGTTTGTTTTACATCTCGATCCGCCCGGGCAGCCACGCACTCCATTTGTATGAACACCAAGTTGTAGCCACCTGCTGCCGCGTTGGACTATGGCTCCGCCGGAATCTCCCTAAATTGCGTAGGCTTAGGCTTAGCTTAGGCTTAGCTTAGACTTAGCTTAGACTTAGCTTAGGCTTAGCTTAGGCTTAGCTTAGGCTTAGCTTAGGCTTAGCTTAGGCTTAGCTTAGGCTGAGGCTTAGGCTTAGGTTAGGCTTAGGCTTAGGCTTAGGCTTAGGCTTAGGCTTAGGCTTAGGCTTAGGCTTAGGCTTAGGCTTAGGCTTAGGCTTTGGCTTTGGCTTAGGCTTAGGCTTAGGCTTAGGCTTAGGCTTAAGCGTAGGCTTAGGCTTAATTAAGCTTTAGTTTAGGCTTGGGTTAGGATAAATTATGCTTAGGCTAAGCTTACCGAGCACGGCGCCTTCGAGCTCGTCCCCTTGTAGCAGATGGAATTCGGTAGCTGGTTCCCGTTTGGGTCCATTTTCCCGCATGGTACCACCTGCGTGGTCATCATCCGCAAATCAGTGCTGTAGGGCGCTAAAATGAATTGGGAAAGAAGCTGTGGAGTATGAAGAAGCGTGAATGAAGTGACTGCAGATCATTATTCTCCTACCGTTTGCGCCTAATCGACCCCATCCGACCAACTCCAGCGGCAAATCAAGCTTCTCCCAGTCAAAGCTTTCCGGGATCTGGATCGCCATCGTACGGCTGGTGATGTTTATAGCTTTTCGGAGCTAAAGATAAAAATCAGCGCGTGATTCAAAATGGACGTTTCGATCTAAACCTTACTCGAATCTCGAACTGTGATGCTTGTTGAATTACTATAAAAAGAATTCTAAAAAGTGCCTTTCAGAGAAAACCGTGCTTGAACAATGTTGCACAAGTGTTATCATCTATATCTTCATGATTGTAAAGCTGTAGAATAACAGAAGGCCGGATACAGTAGCGCAAGTTTTACCTGAATCAAGCCAATGTCGTTATAGGAAAACTCGTCAGTCCCCGGCTTTGAGCGAGCGTACAAAGGATGGAGGTGGAACTTTTTGGCTTCGATTATTTGCTAAAAACGCTTGGTAATTTTAAAGATCTTGCAATGCGAAAACGGTTTAATTGCGTTCTGCAATCACAAAAAATAATAACCTACAACTCCGGGATCAGGTGAGCCACCATCGGTCATATGGTTGGCACCTGCGAAGACGCGGAAGAGGTTTGTTGGAAGTCTAAAAATAATAGAGAGGCTACAGGAGAGAGAGAGAGAACGAGAGGAGAGAGAGAGAGAGAGAGAGAGAGAGAGAGAGAGAAGAGACGAAGAGTGCACCACTTACGCCTCCCGCTTCTTATCGTTCTTCGATAAACAGTGCCCTGCCGTGAGGATCCATTCCGGAGCGATGATCGAGCCTCCGCAGGTGGTAGTCCATTTCCTGATACGATTCAAGGTATCTGCAGCATACTTTAAGCACAACGTTTCTAAGCACACAGAGCTAGCTATCAGAGATCTTTGTGGAAAAATTCTCGTAGGCTAGCTAACTAACTTGTTTAGTTGGGCTCGTATTGCTACAGCGTACGTGTAGGTCTCGACAGAAGCACCGATGCCTCCAACGATGCCGTTGGCTGGCTAGTAGAACCTTTTTAATAATATTTTAAAATTGTACCGGAAGCTCCTGCGCTACAGTAAGCTGGAGTACAGTACTGAGCAGAACTGAGCTAAAGAGCTTGAGATCCATCTTAATAAGTGGCACACGATTTTTTTCTGAAGCTTTATAGCGTTCTCGAGCGTATGAATTATTTATTGGTTTGCGGTTTTATTACATTTGTCTAAATTTAACATCAAAAAGGTTGAACATTATCATAAAAAATTTTGTTAACATAAAATGTATGTATTCAAGAATATCCTTGTAAGTATCTGAGAGAATAAACATAAAATGTATGTATCTGAGAGACTCGAGCCGCCTTGAAATTTTTATGGCTTTTTCCGCTTCAAAGTGTAACGCATATCCTCCGCCCGATGGTTTCTTCGTAAAAGTCGCAGTAGAACGTCGCGTCGCGCCCGTATAAGACGACTAGGATCACGAAAAATTAGAGATTACGAGGAAAAATTCTGAACAGAAAGTTTTGAAATTTACCCCCTGGCCCGGGTATGCAGTCCGTGCGGCCATTAGTGTGCATGCCGAGCTGGAGCAAACGAAAGCCCGTGCGAAGCACCACGGCGCTGCCAGAATCTCCCTGAACAATCGCTTTTAGACGAATATCCGAATATTCCGAATGCCGATATTAACGAATTTCGAAATTATGAGATTCCAACATTCTGAAATTTCGACAGTATGAAATTTCGATATGACGATCTTCGATATTTTGAAATTGAGCCTTATTCTGCTGTTATAATAATCCTATTTTTTCTGCTCAATTTTTGCAGCAGCATTTCCGGTTGGCTCGTTGCCAATTATAGATGACCCGTCTTCTACTGGGACTTCCTCATCCATATAAGTCCAGTTTTTGCAGGAAAACGCGTAACTTCTGCAACAAAAATTGTGGAAAAGCGGGTAGAATATTTGCAATTTTGAAAAGCGGTAGAGATCGTCTCAGCTGGTCGAGAACTTTCGATGGATACCTTCATGGCAAAAATCGGGCCCGACTGCGGAACGCTAAAAGCCTTTTTCTCGACAGCCTATGTGTTGCGCAAGTCATTAATTGTGGCAGTGATCAATTCAAATACTTACACCGCATGTCGTTTGGCTGTTGTTGACCGCCTTGTAGCATAGCGAATTTTTCGTCGTGCTGTCCGGTCTGTCGATTTGGCATTCCTTTATCTGCACTTGTAGCATGCGCAGGTCTGTGCTATGTGGCTCTAAAAGACATCGGGCCTAGAGGGGCTAGATTGGTCGCGGGGGATATTTAGCAGACTTTGAAAGTTTCGGATTCCGTTTTGGTGATTTTTCATACATTTTTTACCAAACAGCAAAGATTGTTCAAAATTTTTATTATTTTTTCCATTTTTTCCGTCTAAAAGTATGTAAAAGGCTATAAAATGGTTTTTATTTTTTATATGACCATAGATAATTCTATTGAAAAATTTGGTGTCCGTCCCCGCTAAAAATCCCACCCCTGACAGCCCAGAACCAACTTTTCCACTAACGTGAGCCTCCAACTTAGAACCAAATAGTGCATCCTGAGGTTATACAGGTTCCGAAAGTCAGAAATACAGGGCTTTTTGCGTATGTGAGATTCCTGTCCAACGCACCAAGCGCGCCCAGTTTTCCCCATCCAGCCAGCTCCAACGGTCTGTCAGGGAAGTCCAGCTTGCCCCAATCGAAATTCTTTGGGATATCGATCGACAGCGCCTGCATCGTGAACGTGATATGTGTTGTGAGCTGCAATACAGGATGTATCGAACTATAAAATGGACCAACGATCTAGTTAAAAATACCTTAATCAAGCCAATATCATTTATGGCATAACCGGCTTGGGGGCCCGGATTGCTGATAGCGAATTCTGGGTGAAGGTGGACCTCTTTTGCTGGTATGATTTGCTGAAAGCTGGAGACCTCTCTATCTTGCTCTCTCTCTCATTCTCGCTCTCTCTCTCTCTCTCTCTCTCTCTCTCTCTCTCTCTTGCTGAGTTTATTTCCTCTCCCTCTAACTCTCTCACCCGCTCACTTTCTCACTCTCTCTCTCTATCTCTCTCTCTCTCTCTCTCTCTCTCTCTCTCTCTCTATCTCTTTCTCGCTCTTTCTCGCCCCCTTGATTCTTTCCCTTCACCTGGTGAAAACATACCACGCCCGGTGTCGTCGAACCCGCACGCGTCGCCCTCACGTTATCGGCCCCTACGAATACAGTGAACAGCTCTGGCGGTAGGCTAAACGTTGATCTGTTAAAGGGACTTACAGAAGTGCCGTGCTACTTGTCAGAAGCGTCAAAAAAATAGGCCAAATGCCCCTCTAAGCCCCGTATCAAAATTCAGCACAATGCCATAGCCATGGTCGTCAACTCTTATTGTACTTAATTCCATCTTTATTCAAAGCTTTCCGCGTCTTATTTGGCCTTCCCGAGTTAATTTCTGATTTGGAATCGTAGGCAAACTTCGAAACGATTTGAGTTTCATGCAACTCACGTCACGCGTTCCCAAAAAATGTTGGAGATGCAGTGGCCGGCCGTCAAGATCCACTCTGCGTCGATGATCGACCCGCTGCAAACTGTGAGCCACCGGCTAGAAGGTGATTTTTTTATAGCTCGAAAAGTATTTGAGCTTTGGGGGGGGGGGGCCAAGCATGCTATGTGAAAAGCTTACTTATTACGACGTGTCCGGATAGCTACAGCGTAATTATGCGAGTCTACGGATACACCATGGCCACCGACGATGCTCCTGGCTGGCTAAAAGCCACGTATTTTCGTATAGAAAGTGCATTTTGTCTCGGTACTAACTAAGGAGAGGAGAGAGAAAGCGAGAGAGAGAGAGAGAGAAAGAGAGAGAGAGAGAGAAAGGAGGAGAGAAGAGGGAGAGAATATCTACCGATACTTGAAACGACAACCTGAAGTAGAACACCCAACACGACCAGGTGGGTCAATTTCGCCTGCATTTTTTTCATAACTCAAATCATTTTTGAGATGCTTTATAGCTGTCTGGGTTTGGATATGAATTATTTATCGGGCCTTGTCGAATTATTTCGGTTTGAATTAACACATAATTTCGCATACAAAATTGAGCTAAAGGATGAGGGCTAAAAATAAATATACGGAAAGGCTTTTAAAAGACCTATTCAATCCTCCTGCAGTCGCTGGCAAATCTCCCTGCCGATCGTCTTTTTGTAGAAGTCACAATATCTCGTCGTATCCATGCCGACGACTGCAATTTTCGGGAGGTTTCGAGAGTTAAAATATGTTCAGTTACCTGGCGCAAAATCATCCCATCTACAGTCTAGACTGCCCCAAGTTGGCATGCCGAGTTGCACCCAAACCTCTTTGCCTTCATGCTGAATTTTCCGGGCAGCTGCGGCTCCCAGTCTCCCTAAAAATTGTTCATTCGGAACTTAGAAAGCTAAATTTAAAGTTTGGATAAATCGGAAACCTCGAAAACCTACATTACAAACGCCTTTAAACTGATTTGCCATCAGGCAAATGATTTCGGATGGAATTTATAGTTCCAGGCATTATCACAACGCTTCTTAGGCTGGATCGAGGCACGGTAATAGCGCAGCGGGTTCTAAAAAAAGCCTTAAACTACAAAAAACAACCTCAAGTGCAACAGAAATTCCAAAACTACCATCCATGCCTGTCTTCCCCAGGCCATTACATCAACCAGCTTTCCCTTGCTGATCAGGGATTTTTCTGGAAACGGGATGAGAACCTTCTGGACTGTTTTCCCGAATTTGAGGGGTTTGCTCAAATAAAATTGTTTGCGATAAAAAGTACGAAATAACCTTGATTAATGCAAGCTCGTTGTAGATAAAGAGGTGCAGTTCATCATTCGGTTTGTCATCAACTTTCATTTCCGGGTGGATGACGACGTCGGCGACTTGGATGACTTGCTAAAATTGGGTCTCTCACTCCTCTCTCTCGCTCTCTCTCTCTCGCTCTCGCTTGTTTTGTCCCTCTCTAACCGTAATTCCATCGTCTGTACTTGTCGAAGTTACTCTGGTACTCCCAGCTACGATTCGGTACTGATCGGCGGGACTTAAAAGCAAAGGTCATAATAGGACAAAGTACTGAGAAATACGTTCTACGGCTTCCAAAGTAGAAACAATTCGCAGCTCCGAGGACCCATTCGCGATCGATTATCGATCCGGCGCAGACGGTGAGCCATTTTCTGGGATTTTTAATGGTACCTTTCAGGTTCAAGGTACAAGCGTTTGGGAAGTTCTACCCGAGACGTGATGCATTTCTTTATCGCACCAAAGCTTTCTCTTAAAAACCTACTTTTTGACTTGGTTATAGACCTGCAGCGTGACGGCAAACGGATAATCGCCGGCTTCGCTTCTAGCTCCACCAACGATCGAATTCTAGGCAATAATTCGAAAATTTTGGTATACCCTCATCGCCGGCGCAACCCAAAAGCATAGAAAAAGTAATGGCAGCAGAAAATGCATAGTGTCTGAAAAAATCCACTTCAATGCTCTTCCTGTATAAGACTCGCAAACACACACTGGGAGTCGCTGGTGTCCGGACACTCACTTTTTATGTCAACAAATGCCGAAATCGGAACAAGCGAATACGAAGCAAAACTCTAACAGTTGCAAAACAAACCAGAAGTACTAGATTTACAACGCAATTGCATATGTAATTTACGACTTTTTGCGCATTTTCCAACCACCAAATCTCTCTTTCGGATATCAATAAATTTTTATTTTCTAAGTAATCTGATGGATCGATCGTGCTGACAAATTTATCCTTTCACATCTTTCCCAGTTTGATGCACATCCGCTTGCCAATCGTCTGCTCGTAGAAAGCACAATATTTGGTGGCGTCGACGCCATAGACTAAACCAAGGAGTCCCTAAATGAAAGTTATAAAAATGATTGAAGATAGAATAGTTACAATCGACCTGCCCTCTGGTGTGCAATACTAGTGATGGTATTATTCAAATCTCAAATCTAATTTGCATCCGCCTAATCAAATCTGCCCTTTGATTTGAATAAGGTTTCAGCACTTCAAATCAAATCGATTTGATTTGGACTTTCGAGGTTTGAGTTCAAATCGCAAGATTTGTAATGAGGATTTGAAAAGAGTCGAAAAATCAATAGCTACGCGGATACTAATTTTAGGGATGGCATGCATAATAAAGGTCATTTTTCGGTTCGCGCCAGCTCGGCCATAGCGTTTTTTTATGCTTTGCATGCCGGCATCCCCATAAGATTTGGATTAAGGACCGGAAGCTTAATCAAATCCTCAGGATTTGATTTGAACTCGTCCACGGATTTCAAATCAAATCCGCCGATTTGAAATTGAAATTTTTGCCTTCAAATATTCAGATTTGAGCACTCAGATTTGACACAAGAATTGATTTGAATAACCCCATCACTAGTTCACACCCAGTTGCAGCCACTGCGATTTGTAATGGTAGCCACCGCTGCGCCGGAATCGCCCTTTAAAAATATTTTACAATTTTACCGGAAGCTCCTGCGCTACAGTAATCTGGAGGACGGTACCTAGCGCAAGCAAAAGCTCGCAACGCATTTGAAGGATATCAAAAAAGCTTTTATGGCAGGCTTTATAACGTCTTCCATTCCATGAATTATTCAGGACTGTATGGTTGATTGGATTCGTACAATTTAGGACAATGTACCTGCCTAAAATCATTTATTATAGCTTTCCCGTTTCAAAGTGTAACGCATATCCTCCGCCCGATGGTTTCCTCGAAGAAGTCGCAGTAGACAGTTGCATCGAAGCCCACCGCCCAGGCTAAGATAGATGGATTATGAAAATTGTATTAAAAAATCAAAAATAATAACTAACTTACCGATGAAAAATTTGTTTTTGAAAATTTTTTGTCATTTGAAAACGTGCTTTCTCTACATTATGCCCATTCTTGCATAAAAAATCGTAAGCTGTCTTTTTTAGGAGGCGATTAGCATGCGTTGGAAGTCGCTGGAACTTACACCACTCCCCGGCACTACAATTCCACGGGCCATGAGCATGGACGCCGAGCTGTAGCCACTGGATTCCACGCAGCACCACAGCGCTGCCTGAATCTCCCTAAAAACTGGAATGTGATTTGCCATCCTGATGGTCATTTCAATGTCGGATACTTTCAAAATTTCTTACTATCAAAAATTATAATTTCGATATTTTCTAATAGCAAAATATGATAATGACGAAATTTCATAATATCTGATGTCAGAATTTCGAAATTCATAATGCCGAAATTTTGTAACACATAACTTTCCTAATTTCGAGTTGTCATAACCTTGAAATTTGAAATTTTCTAAATTTTAAAATCAAGAAGCTTCTTAATATCGACATTTACGCATAATGTTATATTGGGTTGTTTGTGGGAGATTCAACTATGTAAATTTTGACATAATGAAATTCGGGATTGCGACATTTCGAACCCAACGAACTTGCCTCGCATGAGGTCTGGTGGTCTTTGGCTCCCCTGTAGCACAGTACGTTCCTGATCTTGCCGTCCGTCCTGTCGGTTAAGCAACCCAGCATTTGCACTTTGATCCTGCGCAGTTTTTGGCCCATTGGTCCTAAAAATTGCTTTTCGAGAGTTCAGGTCCGGATTTTAGCGTTTCTGAAGAATTTTTCATCACGCACGATCCGCTCCCAGTCGTCCCCATCCGGCCAGCTCCAGCGGTCTCGAGGGGAAATACCACAGTTTAGCCCAATCAAACTGCCTGGGGATGTGAATCGGCATTGCGCGCATCGTGTAGGTGATGTTGCGTGCAAGCTGAAAATGCGACTCTTCGGTATCAGGAAATTTTTTATTGAAATCTTCATGAAAATCGAAAGAGCTATTTATTACTATAAAATTTAACCTTAATCAAACCAATATCGTCCACGGTATGGCTTTGACGGTCCCCCGGCTTCTCGCGAACATATCCTGGATGCAGATGGAACTCTTTTGCTGGTATGATTTGCTGAAAGCTCGTTGAAAGATCTCTCTCGTTCTCACTCTTTCTCTCTCTCACCTCTCTCCTCTCCCTCTCTCCCGCTCTAGCTCTTTTTCCTAGAGCTAAAACCTACCACCCCTTCATCCGGGCACCCATGAGGAACCATGTAATCTCCTCCCACGAAAACACTGTACGGCTGTGGTGATAGGCTAAAAGTTTCCTTGGTTTCTATCTCCCACCATTGCGTTACTTTACATTGCGTCGAAATTTAATCTGATAAATTCGGAAGATCGATACTTACATGCAAAAAATGTCGACGTTATGGATTCCAAAATTATAATTTTTGCCTATACTCACAGCTTGTGCTCGAAGTGGTCGTCCGCTATGCAATGCCCGGCTGTCAGGATCCACTCGCGGTCGATGATCGACCCACCACAGACAGTGAACCACTCACTTAATACAGAAACTTTGAAGAATAGAATTTAATCGATTTCTGCAATCCTACCGCGCTGAAGCTGCCCTATAATGCCTGGTTAGCGTGTCCTGATCAAGGAATCACCCGTGGAATATAAACCAAAAATGAGTTGGAAAGAACAGTAAAAACGCCGTAACTCGAATGCATGAATCATTGTTACGCTAATACTTACTCATTACGATACTCCCGGATAGCTACGGCGTACGTATAAGTATCGACGGATACGCCCCTACCACCAACGATGCTGCTGGTTGGCTAAATGCACATTTAATCGGGCTGAAACTAAACTACAGCTACCAGGCTTAACCTAGCGGAGAGTGAGCATGAGCGTGAGAGTGAGAGGGATGGAGAGAGGAAGAGAGGGAGAGATCGTGAGAGTGAAAGAGAAAGAGAGTGATAGAGAGAGACAGAGAGAGTGATTGCTAGAGAGCGAGAGTGAGAGTGAGAGAGAGCTAGAAAATCATTCACCGGCATTTGAAACCACAACCTGAAGTAGAGCACCCAACACCACTAGGAGGTCAATTTTTGCCAGCATTTTGCTTTTATAACATCTTAAAATCACTTTTATGAGCTTTATATCTGTCTGGGTTGGGTTATGAATTATTTATCAAGCCTCGTCGCGTATCATATTGGGTGATTTCGGTTTGGATTTAACCCCAAATTTAGCATACACTGCAATTTTTTTAAAAGACATTGGAAACGCAATCTCATGATCGTTCTTTAATATCAAATGTACAACAATAAACTGTGGTAAGTCCTTGCGTCAAAAGCGCTTTATTGCTTTTTCCATTTCACAGTGTGATGCATATCCTCTTCCCGATGGTTGCTTCGTAGAAGTCACAGTAGAGCGTCGCGTCGAAGCCATATGCCCGTACTAAAATACAGAATTTCCAAAAATATAGGCCTAATTTACTCCTGGGGCCGGGTTCGCAGTCCGGCGGGCCATTAGTATTAACACCGAGCTGGAGCCATGGAATCCCAGGAAGCACGACGGCGCCGCCAGAATCTCCCTGAAGACGAACCAACATCGCGATTCGTTTAAAAAAATTAGAAGGCATTTATATTCAAAAAAGACGCTAAAGTGGCTTTGGTTTAAACGTTGCACTTTGAGATGAGAGGTCCTTAGGATTTTTTTGGAGTGCCAAAAATCGAAAACGACGAAAGCCCAGCAGTTTTTCCCGAAAACTATGTCCTGCTTTCCGCCCGCGGTCGTGCAAATTTTTACGATTTACATGTCTATGCAAAGCTCTCCGCGAGCTGAGGAGCTATGTTTTTCCCCGATTTACGAACCTCCGAAATTTCAGACATCCGACAAATGGATTTTTTTCCATAAAACCACAATCTCAAGCTTTTTTGCAATTACTTGCAATTGCAATAATTGCACCAGATTTTTGAAAGCCACTGTGAAAAAATGGCTGATTAAATCGAGGTTTTTAGAAAACGTATAACTTTGGCATAAGAAATGCCGAAAATCAAGCTAAAATCCGGGAATTCAGAAAACCAAAAAGAATAGGTCTCCTCCGCTCGCTGAGAGCTCTCGAAAGATACCTAAATCGTAAAAATTTGACATGACTGTATACCGCTAGATAGGGAGTTTTTTTGGCACGCTTTTTAGTACTTGCAGTGCATGTTGTCTGGTTGTTGTGGAGCCCGCGGTAGCAGAGCACATTTTTTGTATTGCCGCCCCAGTTTTCCCATATACATTCAACCATCTGCAGCGGTACCATCCGCAGTTTTGTGCTGTATGGCCCTGAAAATCGGTGGTCAGGCCGGTGTGTTTAACGCACTTTCAAAGCCCAGCTTCCCCCATGCTGCCAACTCCAGCGGCCTGGCGGGGAAATCGAGCTTGCCCCAGTCGAACCTCTTCGGGATCTGGATCGGCATCGCGCGCAGCGTCCACGTGATGTTTCTTGAGAGCTGAAGTGGGTTGCGATGGCATTTTTATAGGGTATCCAAAAAATTCCGACAAAAAGTGCATAATCCTAGAGATAAGCCCAAGCCTAAGCCAAAGCCTAAAAGTACCTTAATCAGGCCTATATCATTTGAGGAATAGGCGCTTGCATCGCCCAGCTTGCTGCGAGCGTAATTTGGATGGAGGTGGATCTCTTGTGCGGGTATTATTTGCTGAAAGTTGATTTTGGCGCTTTCTGACTCTCTCTCTCTCTCTCTCCCCCTCTCTCTCTCTCTCTCTCTCTCTCCTCTCCTCTCTCTCTCTCTCTTCTCTCTCTCTCTCTCTCTCTCTCTTCCGCTGTCTCCAGCTCTCTTTGATCTCTCTCCCTCAGCTGAAACTTACCGCTCCCCAATCTGAAGTACCAGGACCGATTCGGACCATGTAATTGGCTCCCGCGAACACAGTGAAAAACACTGGCGACAGGCTAAACGCTCATATGGTAAAGCCAACGAGCAAAGGCCGAATAGCTTCTTGGATTACCTTTCTTGGATGCCGAGTGGTCCTGATCACTTATAAACTGATCAGGACCATCAATTTTTGCCTTAAGCTTCGATTAACTCACATCTGACGTTCGAAATAAATGTTTGATATACAGTGACCGGCAGTCAAGACCCACTCTGCGTCGATAATTGACCCAGTACAAACTGTGTTCCAAGTGCTGAGACGTATTTCCAGAACCTTTTGCTTCGAATCACCCACCGGTTCAAGAAGGTCCGAATTGCTACTGAGTACGGGTAAGTCTCGACGGACGCCCCCTTACCACCAACGACGCTCGCGACTGGCTAGAGGCAGGTAATTTAGATTATTTTGGAGGAGGAGACGGAGAGAGAATGAGAAAGAGGAAAAAAGAGAGAGAGAGCGAGAGAGAGAGAGAGAGAGAGAGAGAGAGAGAGAGAGAGAGCGAGAGAGAATGAGACAGTACGAAAGGGACGAACAGATGAAGAAAAAGCATTTACCGGCAGTTGAAACGACAACCTGAAGTAGGACAGCCAGCACAACGAAGGTTTCCAATTTCGCCTGCATTTTGATTTAATAAAATCTTCAATTGACTTTTTAGGTGCTTTATAGCTGTCTGGGTCGGTACATGAATTATTTATCAAGACAATTCCCGTTGATTGGCTTATTTCCGGGTGCTTCAAAAAAGGATTTAGCACAAAACTTTGAAGAAACCGGTTAGTTAAGTAAGGAAGCGAGTATTGAAAAGGCCGAAAAGGCCAATTTAGTCCTCCTGAAGTCGCTGGCAAATCTCCCTGCCGATCGTCGTTTTGTAGAAATCGCAATATTTCGTGGTGTCCATTCCAACAGCTAAAATTTGTTAGTTCTGGTCCATTTTTCATTTAGGCTTAGTTTAATTTTCAGTTTCTCACAAATTTTGCACACTATTAAAATTCATAACCTGGAACATAATCGGACCATTTACAATCCTCATCCCCGATTGAAATCATTCCAAGTTGGATCCAGATGTCTTTGCCCTCATTTTGAATTTTTCTGGCAACCGGCGCGCCCCAATCGCCCTAGAAATGAGAAAATTCTGTCGTAAATTTGACGCATTTCTCTCTCTTTATCTTTCTGACTCTCTCTCTCTCGCTCTCTCGCTCTCCGTCTCTCGCCCTCTTTCCCTCCGTCTCTCTCGCTCGCTCTTTTTTCTCAAAACCAACATGACACGGCCCTTTAAATTGATTGGCGAGTAGGCAGACGGTGTTCTGCGGAAATCGATAATTAAAGGCATCGTCGCATCGCTTTTTGGATTGTATGGAAGTACGGTAGTAGCGGAGGTGTTCGGATGCAACGTCTAGGAATTATTATTACGAGTATTTCAGGTAAATTAGGTAATCTAAAAACTAACCCTTGGCACTCGTCTTGCCCCACCCCATCACATCGAACAGCTTCTCCTTGCTTGAAAAAGACTTTTCCGGAAAAGGAATTGTGATTTTCTGCACAGTTCTACCGAATTGAATGGGTTTCGTTAGCTAAAAAACATTGTAAAAGTCTAGAAACTTCTGAATACCTTAATCAACGCCAAGTCATTTTCCACAAAATTGCTCAGCTGATCGCTGGGATGCGCCATATCCTTTGTATTCTGGATGCAGAAAGATTTCCGAAGCCTCAAGGATTTGCTGGAAAAAGAAACATTAACAGTTTTGTTCCCTAAATGGTAAAATCTTTTTCCAAAAATCAGAAAAAAAAATCGGAAAAAATCCCTATTATTTTTCTATTTTTGGCGTCATTGGTGTGGAACGTACAGCATTCTGGGCATCGGACCCCTTCGAAGTTACGATGGTACTGCCAGCAATTAGACGATGTCGATTTGTAGCCCTAAGGAGCGGATGTTTTGAACAAATGAAGGAAGAATCCAATTCAAAAGACGTACATTCTATGCGTCCCCGAGAAAAGACAACTACCCGCCACTAAGATCCAATTACGATCGATTATCGATCCAACACATCCGGTTAGCCATTTCCTGAAACCATGTTTCAAGTTAATGCGTAATTCAAGTCAACTTCAATGTGATTTAGCTACAGAAAGGAGCAACTTACTGTTTGACTTGATCGTACGCCTGATGCGTAACCACGAACGGATAATCGCCATCTTCAGCTTCTAGCCCACCAACGATTGCGTTCTAAAGCTTTGGGTTTGACTTAAAAGCAGTTTTTTACCGTTTGCACTGCGCAAAGGCTTGTCAAAAGTAAATGCAGAAGGTACATGGTCGTTTATAAAAATTCACTTCAAGGTCTTTCTTATAGCAAACTCGCGGCTCTGATTCATTGTTTCGGCTGCTCGCCATGCGGCGCTTCTTTGGGAACAATAACTTTTTGTGTCAATAAATGCCGAATTCGGAACCAGCGAATCCAAAGCAAAAACTCTGAAAGTTGCAAACAGGCCAGAAGTGCTAGTTTTACAACGCGACCATCATTACGCAACAAACACGCCGAATTTTTTTTGTAAACCGCAAGTTTTTGTTTTTGGTAGTATTCGCTTGATTTTACGTTATCAAAGGGTTTTCATATGTAATCTACGACTTTTTGCGCATTTTCCAACCACCAACCCTCTTTCGGATTTCCAGCCAAGTTTATTTCAAGCAATTTGATGGATCGATCGTGCTGATAACGTATTCTTTCACATCTTCCCAGTTTGATGCACATCCGCTTGCCAATCAGTCTGCCGTACGCGGTGTTTGCAGCGTCGACGCCAAAGACCAAAACTGCGAGTCTCAGATTAAAGTCCTAACACAAGGCGTTACCATGTGATTGAAGAAAGAATAATCACAATCGACGTCCTCTAAGTATTTACGCCCAGCTGCAGCTACTCGCGACTGCACCTGGTAGCCACCGCCGCGCCGGAACTCTCTAAAAGCGTGTCCTTGTGAGCGTTTTTTAAACCATATTCTTCGGTCACGTATTGAAGACTCATGTGGCACGGACCCGGCGCGATATCGACGGCTGGAGATAGCAATGCTCTGGCCAGACAGAGCTCTGATGCCACACTCTTGAAGAGGGGTCGACCTTTGGCTTGATACATGCGCAGATCCTCGCTCAATGCTCTGCAAAAGTGATATGAACTCGAATAAATAAAATAGTTCTATAAACTTTTAGATATCTAAACTTTAAGTTGACGGAACCAGAGCTTCTCAAACCTGCATTTTACCGAGATACCTCAGCCGGCAATAATATCGAGTGGGAGAAACGGATCGTCCCAGGCTCGAAATTCTCCGATGCGGACCTGCTGCCATGAACTGGAGAACGAAGCGCCGACTGATGGAAAGAAACGGGCGGTGTTTAGTATCTGGCTGTTGTCATTTCGACCCATCTAAAGATTCGACCCATTACTCATAAATCCATTAACCTAGACCCACTACGCATGGAAACAAGCAAGTAACAGGAGACTATATTTTAAATTTGCTGATGCTTTAGTTAAAATGCAAAAATATGGTCAATATCCTGGCAGTGAAATACCTTCAGTAAGGCGATGTCATTCGGCGCAGCTCCCGAGCGTTCCCGGGATTGCGATAAAAAGTCGGGGGATGCAGAGGGATGCTGGCCAATTTGATTACGCTTCAAAGAAGCCGGGGGTCGAAAGGAAGAAAATTTAAAAGCATAAAGAATCAAGAGCTTAATCCAGAAATTGGATGCATCTGTTCAAAACTAATAATTCTTTCTTACCACATCACGATCCGGAGATCCAAAGGTGCCAGCAACAGTGCCAAGCAAAAATCCAGACAGCTCTGGGAAAGCCTGAAAGCGTCAATTCTGGTTTTTGGTTTAATACTGCAAAAATTTTAAATTTGATGGGCAATTTGAGCAAACCTTAGAAAAACTAACGCTTCGCTGTATCACGCATGACGAGTGTCCGGCAGTCAAGATCCATTCTGATTTCATTATCGAGCCCAAGCATTCGTGGATCCATTGGCTAAAAAAAGGGCGAAATAAGAATTTTATTAAGGGCTTAGGCTTAGCTTAGAATTAAGCTTAAGCTAACTCAGATAAAGTCTAAGCTTACAAATAAAGATCCTGAAAACCGCCTTCAATATAGCGTCGAATTACCGAATAAGCAAAGCCTCTGAATGCCGACTCTGACGCCGCCCAATATAATTTTAATGGAAATTTTAGCACCGAGGTCTGGCACATAATCACCAAAAAACACCGTATTGGTAGCGCTAAAAATACAGAAAATAGCAGCCCGGGCGGCATCATTTCAAATAATGATGGCGTCGTTCAGATTTAATAAAAGCTGTTCTGCAGTGAATAATTCCAAAAAATCGCGTCAGCTTGTTTTAATCGCGCGGGAAAGATGTATAAATAGTTTAAAAATGCTTGTTGATAGCTTTGAATGCGCCCTTTCTGATACCAGCTAATCCGAAAATACATATTGTGTTATCGATATGCAAAACATTAAATAACTGCACTTCCTTTAAAGGGAAGAAATGTATACACATTTCAACAACTTATCAACGAAAAAATCTTTAAAATCTGATTTGACGCAGGAGCAAGGATTTGGCCTCCAGCCAGTCGCAAATTGAGACAGGTCGACGGCAAGGGCTAAAAGAGAGTACTATAAGCGGCAGAGAGCGAGAGAGAGAGAGAGAGAGAGAGAGAGAGAGAGAGAGAGAGATATCTGATGAAGGCTACGATAGCTACAATCTTACTCCCACATTCAAACGAGCCTAATCTGGCACCAGTAGCTATGCATTTGCCAGCAGAACGGGGACCACCGAAATCTCCCTGCAACAGAGGCAGCTGAAATCCCTTGATTGAAAACTCACAAGGTCATGCCAAGGCCCATGCTTCTTCTCTACGCCCGAAAACAAAAACAGTCTCGTCAATTTCATGTCCGAAACGGGCTGACAAGAAGTTGGGTCAGACGGGATTCGCGTCCATTGAGCGAAGCTCTGGCTCACTCCGACTAAAATACTGCGTTTACGGACGTCGGAATGCAACGAAACGATAAGACATCGACGAATCACCAAATCTTTAAAGTTAGCTAAGGATTCAAAAACTGAAACACACTATCCGGCAAGCGCCGCCGTCCGATCCCCAATCCGATAGCAATATAGGTTTCTCTAATTCCCCAACTGAACGGCTCGGCTATCGATTGGCAACGCGTTCATCCAGAATTTGATGGATCGCCTGAGCTGAAAGAGGCTTAGCTACTTTATGCTTAGGGCTCATGCTTAGCGTACTTAGGGCTGGCTGCATTTCAAATACCTCCAGAAGTGACGTCATTAAAAACATCTCCCGGTTGCGTTTCGAAGATCCGATGAATAGTTCTTACGACCATGTACGGGTCTAAAAATCCTTTAATAAAGAAAGGGGAATGCAGTATGAGGATTTCAAGACGTAATGTTTTTATTAAATACCTTAAAATTGTACTGATACTAGTAACTGACCGGTCTAATTGATATTATCCTCTTTCCTCGTCTTTCTTTCTCCGGCTACCTCTCTTGGCCAAAACGTAGTTCACAAAACGCGTGTAGGCGATTTATGCTGAATCCTAAAAACTTTTTGCTTTCCGATTCTCAAATTTAACAGCTTTTAGACTTTTGTGTATAGATGGCTCATTTTAAATAATCTAGTCTGATCTGAGGCCCACTTTTCCGTCTGAACCGCCTCGTTATCCAAAGCACAATGTCTCCGTTAGAATAATATGATTCTGAAACGATTGATCCGCTGCAGGTAGACCAGGTCCCAGCGAAAGTTGTTGATCTTATTTATAACAAATCCAAAAAACGAGCTATACGATCGCTGCCGCGCAGCGAAATAGTACTTACTTGCTCTGACTGCCGTCAGGGAAAAACAGGCTACAAAATACTGAGAATTGAATTTTTCGTTACACAAACTTGCAACATGGAGTGAATAACCCAAACGTAATAAAAATCAGCATATTTTTTTGGGAGTTAAGAAGAGAAAATCGCAGAAAAGAAAAAAATCTGGTTAGACAGCTGCAAAATTTTAAGAATAATTCACGAAAAAGCTTTGAAACAAAAAACGCAAAATAGCTTCTGGGGATTGCAAATTGCCATCGATATGGTGCTGAAAGACGAGAGAAAGAGAAAGAAAAACTAACTTTATGACGTAATTTTAACGAGAGAAAACAATTAACCCTTTATTATCTTTCTTAATTAATAATGATGGACGGAACGTCGCCGGAACCCTCTTCCGGATCATCAGGACTTGTTAGGGGAGACACCTGATACTGTTTTCCTGAGGAATTGGGTAGAAGCGCAGGTCGAGAACGACCACTAAAAAGCTGATTAGATATTTCGGCATTGTCTTGTTTCTTGGCTCATCACGCAGATAGCTGCAGGTGGATCTGCGCAGCCCGACCAGCATGTCTCCACAAGCACGTTCTCGCTCATGCATTATCACTACCGCACCGCCGATGTCTTCCTAAAAATTAAGCCAGATTGGAGACTCGCATCGCAGTGGTATTGCGAACAGTACAATGATAGCCGGAGCAGTACGGAACGCCGGATGGTCCCTTATTACGCACATCGCGCTCTGAACGCCAACTACATTTCACCGTTCATACGTAGCGATACCTTTTTCTTATCAAAACGAAATGAGTACGCTGAGTACGGGAAGCTGCGGCCTGGTGCAGAGCTACAGTATCCCAGCGACTTGCATCGAAGCATGAAGACGTAGCGCGACGCACTTCTGGTCTGCAGCTTAGAATGCTTTGTTTTCCAAAGTTTCCACTACGCCAAGGTAAGCTACCGTATCCCAAAGCAGGCAGTAAGACACAGCATCCGCATACTCATAAAGATCTCGGTCTGCGTTCCCATTGTCTTCATACAGTAAACCTCATC